TCAAGAGACTCTCAATTTAAGCTTTCTAGTGTTCACCTCCAAAGGGGCACCCATAGTGGATGTGGATAGTGGATGAGTGAGTCGCCTTCAGGATGTTGGGCCAATCCATTGCTCCTCATATACCTCAATGTTTAGGTGATCCACCACTAAATAAAAACATTAAAGTGTAAATGCAGTGCTAACAATGAAATGTACTCTATAGTCTTAGGGTTATGTTTGTTCATATATACATGTAAGACAAAGAAAAAAAAATGTAAGTGTGCAACACTGTAAATACTGATAGGTGATTTACAGAGAGCGGGTAGATATATGCTCACAATGTATTGAGCCTTATTGATGATATGGCTCTGAACGTACACACAGTCGCGCCCCTTCTGGCGGCAACTTTACCTCTTCTTGATGTTAAAATTCTTCAAAATGGCACATAGAAACATAGAAACATAGAATGTGACGGCAGATAAGAACCATTTGGCCCATCTAGTCTGCCCAATTTTCTAAATACTTTCATTAGTCCCTAGTCTTATCTTATAGTTATGATAGCCTTATGCCTATCCCACACATGCTTAAACTCCTTTACTGTGTTAACCTCTACCACTTCAGCTGGAAGGCTATTCCATGCATCCACTACCCTCTCAGTAAAGTAATACTTCCTGATATTATTTTTAAACCTTGTCCCTCTAATTTAAGACTATGTCCTCTTGTTGTGGTAGTTTTTCTTCTTTTAACCCCTTAGCGACCGAGGACGGTTCAGGACCGTCATCGGCATTTTTGCCTTGAGGACCGATGACGGTCCTGAACCGTCCTAACGGTCTGGGGGTACTTACCTGATCGCCGTCGTTCCCCCGGCGGCGATCAGCGTGGCTCCGGTTGTGGGGAGACCGCCTGCAGCCCAGACAGTCTCCCCACACTGATTTAGGACCCCTGTGGCCATGTGATCGCTTAACACAGCGATCACATGGTCACAATAGGTGTCCATAGTGCTGCCTGCAGGGGGACTGTCTGTGCTGACAGGCAGTCTCCCTGCATGTGTAAAATCAAAAATAAAAATAAAGTTAATGGTAATAAAAAAAATAATAATAATTATATATGTGTATATATGATATATAGACATATATTATATCTATATAATATATGTCTATATATCATATATATAATGTCATACTAAGTGTATTTTATATTAATATGTACTTATATTAATATAAAAATACACTTATAATTAAATTACACACGTATATATATAATATATATAATAACTATATATATTGTATATATATATTATTATAAAATATAAATAATAAGTAATTTAAATTAAATAAAACATTTTTAAAATAATAATAAAAAAATAAAAAAAAAATATATATCTATATGAAATTTTATTCTAACTGTATTTTAAAATTAATATATATATATATTTATATCAAAATACACTTAGAATGAATTTGTATATATATCTATGTATATAAAAATAAATAAAAATAATAAGAAATATACATGTCCATATACAAAATTACATAAATAATTATATAAATATACACGTAGACTTCAGATATATATATATATGCATATATATTTAAATTCTACGTGCGTATTTATGTAATAGTTTTACATAATTCAGTAATTTTATTGATTGCAATTTAAGGGACCTGCCTGCCAACCCAGGCCGAAATTCCAGAGAATTGAATTTGCTAGCACTGTATTTTACCCTGTAACGTTCTGCGACACCCTAAAACCTGTACATGAGGGGTACTGTTTTACTCGGGAGACTTCGCTGAACACAAATATTAGTGATTCAAAACAGTAAAACATATCACAGCGATGATATTGTCAGTGAAAGTTACTTTTTTTGCATTTTTCACACACAAACAGCACTTTTACTGATGATATAATTGTTGTGATACGTTTCCAGTTTTTAAACACTAATATTTGTGTTCAGCGATGTCTCCTGAGTAAAACAGTACCCCCCATGTACAGGTTTTATAGCATTTTTGAAAGTTACAAGGTCAAATATATGGGTCAAATATTTTTACATTGAAAATGGCCAGGTTGGTTACGTTGCCTTTGAGAGCGTATGGTAGCCCAGGAATGAGAATTACCCCCATGATGGTATACCATTTGCAAAAGAAGACAACCCAAGGTATTGCAAATGGGGTATGTCCAGTCTTTTTTAGTAACCACTTGGTCACAAACACTGGCCAAAATTAGCGTTCAATTTAGTTTTTTTACTTTTTTCACACACAAACAAATATGAATGTTTACTTTGGCCAGTGTTTTCGACTAAGTGGCTACTAAAAAAGACTGGACATACCCCATATTGAATACCCTGGGTTGTCTACTTAAAAAAAATATGTACATGTGGGGTGTTATTCAGAGATTTATGACAGATAATAGTGTTACAATGTCCCTATTGATAAATTTTAAAAATGTATGTTTTGAAACCGCAATATCCTACTTGTACCTATAGCCCTATAACATGCAAAAAAAAGCAAAAAAGCACATAAACACGGGGTATTTTTAAACTCAGGACAAAATTTTGAATCTATTTAGCAGTTTTTTTCATTCGCTTTTGTAGATGAGTAAAAGATTTTTCAAGTAAAAGTCAAAAACATGTATTTTTTTTCAATTTTTCATCATATTTTTTTATTTTTTTTAAATTAAAATACATGAGATTATATAAATAATGGTATGTAAAGAAAGCCCCTTTTGTCCTGAAAAAAACAATATATAATTTGTATGGGAACAGTAAATGAGAGAGCGGATAATTCCAGCCAAACACAAACACCACAAAAGTGTAAAAATATGCCTGGTCGCAAATGTACAACATCGCAAAAAAGGTCCAGTCCTTAAGGGGTTAAATATAGTCTCCTCTTTACTGTGTTGAAAACATAGAAAACATAAAGGGAGCATACAATAGTGAAGGTACCTCTAGAAAAGTGCTCAAATGGCACACTATTTTTGTAAGTCTTGCTCACCTTTTTTGGGAGTCCATTAGTACTGGCTCCAAGTTTGTAGTCACACTGTCAAATATAGAGTGACAGTTCCCCCTTTTTCTTCAGACCCAAGGGTATAAATGACAGGCCAATGAACTTTAAATATAAATTGTAACAGCAAATCTAGATTTAATTAAATCAAAACAAAAAATAAGCATACAATTTAAAATACATACAAATATTGGTTAATCAGTCCATAAGGCCTCCGAGACTCATTTTGCCTCATGAGATAAGTAATAAGTTAATTTCATACAAAGTATTTAGAGGTTGCCACGATTGTAAGGCCTGCCTCACTGCACAGATATTAAGGGCCACCAGTTTTAGATTCAGATATTAGTTGCCGCACGGGGTTTGTGGTATATTTATTACAGTGTCTGTGCGGCAGACAGTATATAGGAAGCACTAAAAGACCA